AAGGCTCCTCACTCTGAGATTGTAGGAGAATTACTCCCTGTTTTCTTGTTCTATTATTTCAATTTTTACATTTTACTCTCGAGTCACCTAGAATTCATTCACTTTGACTGAAATAAAGCTCTGATTTTAATTTTCTACATGCCCATCCATTTGCTAACACATTATTCATTGAATACTCATTCCTCCATAGAATAAACTATGCTTTTATCATATTCTAAATTCCTTTATGTATTTGGGCTTTCTGTTCGGTGCTTTTGAACTATTCATGTGCCAGTTCCACACTATTTTAACTATCATGGCTTTTTTTTTTAATCCAGTAGGAATAATCTACCCACATTATTTTCTTTTTCTAGAACTTGCCTAGATATTCTCGCTTCAAAGTAAACTTCATATGATCTGTAGAATTAGCTTATCTGTTTCTAAATATATCCTACTCTAATTATCTATACATGATCATGATTATCTATATACGATAAGTCTGTGCAGACTTTCTAGCCTCTCGGACAACTTTAGTAGATTCATCTGTTGCTAGATGGCCATCCATCTCCTCCGGCTTTTAAATTTTATTTTCCTCGGGGTCCCTGGGTGGCTCTGCTGTTGAGCGACTGTCTTTGGCTCGGGGCATGACCCTGGGGTCCTGGGATCGAGTCCCAACATCAGGCTCTCCGCAGGGAGCCTGCTTCTCCCTCTGCCTGTGTCTCTGCCTCTGTCATGAATAAATAAAATCTTTTTAAAAAATAAATTTTGTTTTCCTCGAGCTGCAAATAACCTTTATAATTCTTCCGTATGTATAACCTGCTCATCACACAGGTTGCACGTGCTATGGAACAATCAAGACACAGCTTTCTTTGTCTCCCTCCATTACAAAAGTCCAAAACCAGACTTATTTGAGTCCTGCTTTCCCACACCCCTTGAGAGCGTCTTGGGGTGTGTACAACTAAGTGATTGTTTGAGTTTCCCACACGGGCTCATTCTCAGCTGTGAAATGCCTGGGGCAGGGTGAACCCAAACCTCGTCACTAAAGCATTGGGAGCATCCCCTGCCCCAGGTTTGCCTCGCTGGGCCCTGAGAGGCTGCGCTGGCTAAGAAGGCCATCCCGTCCCTCTTCTTCCTCAGTCTCTTCCTATCACCTCACTGTGCTTCTCTTTGCTCCTCCAGGGTTGAAGGAGATGGACTCACTGTCGTGTGTGGCTGGTGCTGTTGTGCGAGGCAGGTATCCAAACCCTGGCTCTTCCATGGAGTCTGCTGCTGGTGCCTCTGAGACCCCATGGGCCGCGCCTCCCCCCAGCTCTGTCCAGAGCATAGCTGAGCACCTTCCTGCCTCAGCCCGCCAGGCACTCATCTCTTTATGGTCAGCCCTGCGGGGTCACTCCTAGATGTCTCAGGCCTGAGCAGGAGCCTGTAAACCGACTCCTAACCCTTGAGATTTTGGAGGCGCTGCTGCCAGGGCTGATGCCCCACCACTGTGGAAGCTCCCTTGTTCCACGCAGTCCTCCAGCCTTTGCAGGTTCTCTGACATCCCTGCCCCCGCACCCCCATACAACCAAGTGCAGCCTGACCAACTGATGCACGGGGCAGCTCCAGCCCCGGCTCTTTGCCTTCAGACTGTTCCTGCCAAGAAAGGCATACTGGCTTTAAAGTTTCAAAGGCCACATCCAGAGTCTTCTCTTAAGCTCTCTGGTGTCCCACTCAGATGGCAGCTCAGTCCCTGTGATTTGGCCACCAGCCAGCCAGAGGGCAAGATACCCACCAAGGAGAAAAAATAAAAGCCAATCCTAATAGGTGAATACTGCATGATTCCATTTGGGTAACATTCGCAACATGACAAAATTATAGTGACAAGAACGGACCCATTGCCACCAGAGGCAGAGTTGTCGGGGAGTATGACTCAGTTGCTCCAGCAGAGCTATATCCTGCTTGGGATCATGGCTACTTTAGTCCATACATGTGATGACACTTCTAGAACTATACGCCAAAACAAACAGATAAAAGAATGCATTTAAAACTGGTGAAACCCCCATAAAGGCCTGCTGTTTCGTTAATAGTATTGTACCCGTGTCAATATTCTGGGTTGTTTTTTTTTTAAGATTTTATTTATTTATTCATGAGAGACAGAGAGAGAAGCAGAGACACAGGCAGCGGGAGAAGCAGGCTCCATGCGGGGAGCCCGATGAGGGACTTGATCCCAGGACCCCGGGGTCACTCCCTGAACCAAAAGCAGACACTCAACCACTGAGCCACCCAGGCACCCCAGTATTCTGGCTTTGATAATTAAACTACAGCCCTATAAGATGTTGCCATCGGGGAAGGGGAAGGGGGTACAAGGGAACTCTTTGTACTATTTTTGCAACTCTTTTTCTAAAGGTTTTATCTACTTATTTGAGAGAGAGAGAGAAAGAGAATGCACCCGCATGCTCACAAGCGGGAGGGGGAGCAGGAGGAGAAGCAGACTGCTCGCTGAGCCGGGAGCTGGATGTGGGGCTCCATCCCTGGACCGCAGGATCATGACCTGAGCTGAAGGCAGATGCTTCAGCTGAAAGCAGGGCACCAGCTGAGCCACCCAGGTGCCCTATTTTTGCAACTTCTATGTGAGTCTAAAAGTCTTTCAAAATAAAACTTTAATTAAAAAAAGAGAACCCGGGATCCCTGGGTGGCGCAGCGGTTTAGCGCCTGCCTTTGGCCCGGGGTGCAATCCTGGAGACCCGGATCGAATCCCACGTTGGGCTCCCGGTGCATGGAGCCTGCTTCTCCCTCTGCCTGTGTCTCTGCCTCTCTCTCTCTCTGGGTGTGACTATCATGAATAAATAAAAATTAAAAAAAAAACTTAAAAAGAAAAAAAAAGAGAACCCTACTGGAGTTCGAACTGGAATGGCATCAAATTATTGGGAGAACTGATATTTTTATCAAATTAAGTCTACCCACTCGATGGCAGGTTTGATTGCCCTTGGGTTTAGATCTTCCTCTCTGTCCTTCATTCAAGTCTCACACTTTTCTTTAATACGTCCCATGCCTGTATTTCGGTTTTTGAAACTATTATGGGCAAAATATAGCCCCATTTTCATTTTAATAGATCCATGTCATGTGACTGCTTTATTCCTACATTTGTTCTTTTCTTCTTCTTGAAGACCATCACCAGAGCACCTGGGTGGCTCAGTGGTTGACCAGCAGCCTTTGGCTCAGGTCGTGATCCCTGGGTCCTGGGATCAAGTCCCACATCGGGCTCCCCGCAGGGAGCCTGCTTCTCCCTCTGCCCCCCTCTCTCTCTGTGTCTCATGAATAAATAAATAAAATCTTTAAAAAAAAAAAAGACCACCACCCAAATTTGTACCTCCACTACATCAATCAGAGCCTCCACCTTCAAAATATTCATTCCCGGCTCTTCCCTTTGCATTCTAAGTTCTTCCCTCATGTTCACACTGCATATCTTAGCTGCACTTTATGTTGATAATATTTTAAGCTACTTTTATTTTTTTTTAATTTTTTTTTTATTTTATTTATGATAGTCACAGAGAGAGAGAGAGAGAGAGAGAGGCAGAGACACAGGCAGAGGGAGAAGCAGGCTCCATGCACCGGGAGCCCGACGTGGGATTCGATCCCGGGTCTCCAGGATCGCGCCCTGGGCCAAAGGCAGGTGCCAAACCGCTGCGCCACCCAGGGATCTCCTTAAGCTACTTTTATAGCTTCAATTTTCTCTATGGTTTCTTCCTTTCTTTAGACGTGTTCGTTCTCTCTCTCTCTAAGATTTTAACTAATCTTTATACCCAACGTAGGGTTTATTTTTTTAAAAAAAAGATTTTATTTATTGATTCATGAGAGATACACACAGAGGGAGAGAAGCAGAGACACAGGCAGAGGGAGAAGCAGGCGCCATGCAGGGAGCCCGATGTGGGACTCGATCCCGGGTCTCCAGGATCACGCCCTGGGCTGAAGGCGGTGCTAAACTGCTGAGCCACCCAGGCTGCCCCCAACGTAAGGTTTAAACTCACAACCCGTGGACCAAGAGATGAGGGTTCCACTGACTGATCAGACAGACACCCCTCCAAGTGTCCAAAAAGGACTGCAGTATCTTTTCCTCTTTGCCATGTTCTTTTGTGTCATCCAGCTCTTATTTTATCTTTCTTGAGGAATAACTATACAGGTTGGTTTTCCTGAAGTAAGTCTTCTTTCAAATATAACTTGTACCTCTAGTTCTGTATCAGTGCCACCGTGGTTTTTGCCTCGAGCCCCTGCTAGTTGGGGTGGTTTGTTACAGAGCAATAGCTAACCAATACATCTGAGCATCTTATCTACTTTTCCCAACAGCTCTGGGCTCTGCCTTTTCTTTCTTTTCTTTTTTTCTTTTTAAAGATTTTATTTACTTATTTGACAGAGAGAGAGCGCACATAAGCAGGGGGAGCAGCAGAGAGAACAGCAGAGGCAGAGGGAGAAGCAAGCAACCCCCTGAGCAGGGAGTTCAATGTGGGACTTGATGAATAAATAAAATAGCATAAAATAAAATAAAAGAGAAAGGAAAATCAGGCAGTATGAAAATCATAAGGCTTAACAAAAGAGTATATACTGTGAAATTCTAAAATAGGCAAAATCAATCAAGAGTGAAAGAAAGCAGATCATTCATTTGCTACCTGGGGACAAGGAAGCAGGGTTGGCAGCAAAGGGACAGTTGGCAGCAACTTGGGGCTGATGGAAATGCTATGTATCTAGATTGTGTGGTACTTACCCAGGTATTTATATTTGTCAAAAGTCATCTGTACTCATTAAATGGGTATATTTTATTGTATAGGAATTATACCTCAATAAAGTTGATTTTCAAAGTTCAAAAAAAAAAAACCTTACATTGGCAAAGCAATGGAGAAGGGGAACCCCCATGTCCTTTTGGTGGGATTGTAAACTGGTGCAGCCACTCTGGAAAATAATAGGTTCCTCAAAAAATTAATAATAGGACGACCATGTGATCCAACCCGGCCACTTCTGTATATATCCAAGCAAAGGAAATGAAAACAGAGACTCAAAGAGGTATCTGCCCTTCCATATTCGTTGTAGCATTTATTTAACGACAACCAAGATTTGGAAACAACCAAAATGTCCCCCGACAGATGCATGGATAAAGACATGGTGAAGGAAATGCTACCATTTGCAACAATAGGGATTGATCTTGAGGGCTTTATGCCAAATGAACAAGCCAGAGAAAGACAAATACTACATGGTACCATTTATATATTTGGAATTGGGGGGGAATTAAATTCGTAGAAACAGAGAGTAGAGTGGTGGGGCTGGGGAGTGGGGAAATCAGAAGGCGGTTGGTAAATCTCTCAGCTGCCTAAGGTCTGAGGATCTCATGGTGACGACAGTCATTAACACTATTGTATAAATTGGAATTTACCAAGAGAGCTTAACTTACATGTTCTCTCTCTCCCTCTCTCTCTCACATGCATGGGATAAATATGTGAGGTTATTAATGGGATGGAGCACCTCTTCACAGTATATACGTACATCAAATTGCAATGACGTACACTTCACGTATCTCACAATTTTGTATGTCAATTAGACCTCAGCGCAGCTAAAGTTAACAAAAACCAAACACTGTGGGGACTCTAGAGACAGTCTTCTGAACACCAAGGAGAAAAACATTCACAATGGTGGCAACGCCCCAACCTCCCTGGGCTCTTCCCTCTCCCAGGCGGTCTCACATGGGGTCTCAGGAGAAGGCCCCCTCCTGCTGCCCCCTGTCGGCCTGAGGCACCCCGTGACTGTGCTAGCTGCCCGAGCCCAGGCCGGCCTCGCACACCCAGCGGTAGGACCTCTGGCAGGCATCGTCATTCCACTTGCCGTCGGGGTGGAAATGGGCACAGTCCTCGCCCCCACCCAGCCCGTGTCCATGCCAGTCGTCCGGCTGGCCTGGTTTCCAGTTCCTGAGGAGAGAGGACCACAGCCAGCTAGGATGGTCAGTGGGCACCAGAACCCAGGTCCGGGGGCAAGGAGCTGAAAGCCAGACCCCAGAGGGGTCAGAGCCAAAGTGGGGGGAAGGACACATGGAAAGCCAGGGAGTACTCACTTGAAATTGGTCTCGTAATCTGTCCCATCCACCCATTTCCAGATTCCTTCAGGGTCACTGAGGCCCATCCAGGTGTAGGAGGAGCCTATATGTTCCTGCACAAAAGTCTGGGACGACAGAAGGGCAAGGGGTGACGTCTCCCCAGCCCAGCCAGCTCCTAGCACTAGCAATTCTGAACTTGATATGTTCGTCCGTCTGTCAAGGAGATTTGGGGTGTTTATCCCAACACCGCAGACAATTAACTCCCTAAGGGTGGCTCAGAGGGTGTGGATTTCGAGTTCGCAAGGTGATCCCGGTGTGCAGCCAAGGTTGAGAACCCACCGCTGCCTGCCACAGGACCTTTGGGCCCTGGGCCCCCCACAGCGCTCACCTGCTCCTCCCTGGAGTTGACGACCACCAGGTGCGCGCTCTCCAGCTGGCAGTACTTGTCGGCCTCAGGCCAGGTCTTCCCGGAGCGGGAGAACCAGTAGCAGCTGCCCTCGTACTCCAGCCAGTTGGGGGCACAGCAAGTATTTCGGGAGCCTGCAGGGAGCGGGTGGGGAGGGTCTGAGACGCTACCCTGGTGGGACCAGTAGGAAATGGGACCCCCGGCAGCCGCCCACCCCTCACCGTTGTTCTGGAGAGCGGCCATCTGGCAACTCAGGGCCTTCAGGTCTTTGGTCAGCTGCTGGACTCGAAGGATGGTGTCGGAATGACCTGAGACACACAGGGGGGCAGTGGGGGCAGTGCCTGGGTGCTCACCTGGAAGCCAGGTGTCCCCGCTCCAGGCTGGCCTAGGAGCACAGCGTGCCACACCCGGTGGAGGGGAGCAGGGGACAGGGCAGCTGGGGGCTGACCTGCTTGGAGCTCCTGCTGCTCTTTCTCCAGCTTGCTCTCCAGGAAAAACACTTTGTCGTTCAAACTTCGGGCTGGAGGGGCGGGCACTCAGCATCGTGAGGCTGCCCCCCACCCTCTGGCCCACCAAGCCCGGCTGCCCCCTCCACACCCCACACAGGCTCCTGCGGTGTCTTACCTGCTTGCAGGTCCTGTTTGTGGTTTTCTACCTCGGATTTCAGAGATGTTACCATTTCTTGCAAATGGCCACCTGGAGGATGTGGGGACTTGAGCTCGGGACTCAGCTCCTCCCCACTCCCTGCTCCCCACTCCCCGCCGCAGTCCCCAGCCCCTTCTCTGCTAGGCTCACCTTGTGCTTTCAGTGCCTGCACCTCAGCCACAGCGGCTACGGTGTTCGAAGTGAGGTTGCTGAAAGTTGCTCTCAGGGTCGCCAGGTCCCTCTGGAACTGGGAGTCTGGTCGGGGGGTGGGACAAGCAGTGCTGACATTTATCAGGCCCTCTGTGAGGGGGGCACACGACCTCACGTGACCCAACCCAAAGGGACAGGCACTGTGATTACCCAGTATCCGGATGAGGAAGCCAAGTTTGGACCGGTTAAGCCACTTGGCTACATTATCCCACCGATAGGGGACCGACCCAGCAGCCGCCGCAGTGGCCACTGTCCGGGGCGGCGTCCCACCCACCGCAGCGCCCCATAGGGTCTCCCCTCGCTGCCCACGCTGCGCCCCTCACTCTGGGATCCGATCACACAGATGCCGACCAGCAGGAGGAGGCTGAGGCCCAGGGAGAACAGGAGAGGCCGGGGGCCTGAGCAGAGCTGGTGCAGAAAGGGCACCGGAGGCGGCAGCCCTGCGGGAGAAGGGGGGGCGTCAGGATGTGGGGGGGCAGGGGAGAGCCCCAGGGGCCTGTCGGGCTCAAGGCCATGCTGGTGGGAGGTCACCCCAGGTCACTGTGGGTCGGAGGATGCTCAGGGGGATGCCAGCACATGTTCTCAGCCTCGTGGGCCCCTCACAGCCATGGGGACACACGTACGCAGCCAGGCCCTCGCAGATTCATACACACCTGTGCCATCAGGGTCACAAGTGAGGTTCCCCCCAAATCCAAATGCTCTTCCCCCAAATATAGGAATCCAGGCCCACTGTGACCCTATCCCTGGCCCCATCTTTCTCAGGACCTTGAATCCTCTTCACACCAGGGTCCCCAGAGGCTGGGGCCAGACCCTCGTAGGGGTGCAGTGTGGCATGAAGGCAAATCTCCTACCCAACCAAGAGAGGATTCAAGGAGGGAACGCGGTCCCCTTCCACTTACCGTCTCTTGATCCCTGGCTTTGCTTCTCGCTCTCCAAGTGCTGGAACTTTTCATACTGCATGGACATGGTTGGACCAACCTGGGGGCCGTCCGTGCTGACAGGGAGGCAGGAGCTGGGGCCAAAGGGGAGGCTGGGTGGACTCGGATGGAGTGGACGTCAGGACCGCAGTCCAGGGAGGAGGTGAGGCTCCCGTTGAGGATGAACCTGGGGTCAGGGGTTGGAGAGAGACTTGGGGATGGTTCTAGGTGCACAGGGGAGGTTGGAAGTGGGGTCAGGACTGGGCAACAGGCGGGGAGGGTAGAGGTGGGATGAGCTGGAGTCTGAAGGTGGAGGTGAAATGAGAGCTAAGTGTGCTGCTAGGACCGGGTGCAACCCTGGGCTGGCACCGAGGGGCCTTGGTGGCTGGGGGTCCTCAGGGCTCCTGTTGGAGCCATGTATGGGGCTGGACCTCACCCTGGTGCTGACGCTGGAAACAGAGTCCACGGTCCACTTCGCAATGGGGCTGGCGGTAAGGTTCACATTGTCCCTGGGGTCAGAGCTGTGGTTAGGGCTTGAGGGGGAGCTGGGTTCGTATTAGGGTTTAGGGCTGCGGCAGGCCGGTAGGGGCCGGAATGGGGCTGAGTCTGCCTCCCAGTGTGAGAGATGCTTGCCCACTCTACTGCAAGCCAAATCCAGTGACAGGAGTAGAACCTGAAATCCACACTTGGCCATCCAACCCCCACGCCACCCCCTACATTTCTTCCCATTCAGGCCCACCTGAGACCCACAGTTCCCATCTCCTTGAAGCGCCTGGCCCCATTACCTGTGGAACGTCTGAAGGCTGCGATTTGGGGGTTCCTTGTGCAGCAATGACCAGAATTGGGAAACACAAAGTCCTGGATAGTCAAGTTGGAGGTGACGGGCAGGGGGAGGCCCCTCCGTGACCAGGTTCCTGCGGGTGGCTGTATCTGCAAGCCTGGCAGGAACTGGGATCTGGTGTTTCACCGTCTTCAGGAGGAATTAGAGTGGAGGACTTGCGGGCCTGTAGGGACTGGCTAAAGGGCAGCCCGGCTCTCCCCCTCCAGGGTGTATCTACTCTCTTTCCGCTGCTCACTGCTGCTCTCCCCCTCCAGGGTGTATCTACTCTCTTTCCGCTGCTCACTGCTGCTCGTGAGCTGCCCCCCTCCAACTTCCTCATTCTTGAGAAGGGAGCCAGACCAGAAGAGACCAGAGACAGTGATCCATCTCCTCTGCCCACACCCCCTTTCACTTCCTGCATCTGAAGTTCCCAGATCTGTGTCCCCCACATCACACAGCTGAGTCCAGAGGAGCCCATTTCTCTGCTCTTGCTCAATCCGACCCAGTCCTGGCACGTGAGCTTCCCCTGGGACCTCGGCCAGTGTGCTTCCCTACTCCCCTGCCCCATTCCTGCTGGCCCTGTGCTGGAGGGAACAGATAGATGGCAGAGTGGGGATTCCTGGACCCCCCGGGACACATGCCAGGTATTAACCGTTCAGTTCCCACAAGAATCCCGGGAGGTGTTTTGGATGCTGGACCGAGGCTCAGAGCCGGGGCCTGGGCTGCCCACATTTAGGGCTCTGCTGAGCACAAGGGCCGGGATTCAAGCCCTGCACACTCCCTGACCCCCTGGCCTGGAGCCCTGCACTCACACTGTCTTCAAGAAACGACCTCCTTCTACTCCCACCACCTGCAAATTGTGTTAAGGGGGCTGCCCCGAATTCACACACACAGTCTTCTCCATCAGAAGGAACTTCCATGTCTTGAAAGGTGGAAAAGGGGGATCCCTGGGTAGCTCAGAGGTTTAGCACCTGCCTTCGGCCTAGGGCTTGATCCTGGAGACCCAGGATCAAATCCTGCATCAGGCTCCCTGCATGGAGCCTGCTTCTCCCTCTGCCTCCCCCCCCTCTCTCTGCCTCTCATGAATAAATAAATAAAATCTTAAAAAAAAAAAAGAAAAGAAAAGAAAGGTGGAGAAGGAAAGCCAATGCATCTTAGGTTGTCTTTTCTGTACCAATGGGATTGTGTGCTACTTGTTTTTTTTTTTTTTTAAGATCTTATTGATTTATTTGAGAGAGAAGGAGACAGTCAGGAGGGAGAGAGCACGAGCAAGGGAGCAGCAGAGGGAGAGGGAGAAGCAGACGCCCAGTGGAGCAGGGAGCCCGAAGCAGGACTCGATCCCAGGATCCCGAGATCATGACCTGAGCTGAAGGCAGCGTCTCAACCAACTGAGCCTCCCAGGCACCCCTACTTGCTTTTTTATCATTTGGTATTCAGATTGGTATTTGTCACAGGTTGGGTTTTTGGAAGCCAGCACTGAGACTGAAGTTGGGGTGCAAGCTATGTTTTAGGGATCGACACCTGAGAAAGGAATGAAGAAGAAGGCGGACAGGGCAGAGGGAGAAGGTGGACAGTTGTGCAGGCCCCACGAAGCTGCAGCCAGCGCAACAGGGTCTCCAGGCCATTGGGCCTGGCCTGTTGGGGGTGTCTGCACCCAGTGGAGTGGGGCCTTCATAACCCCACGTGGCTCAGGCACAGGGGCCGGGCCACCCCAGCAGGGGTGTGACCTTGGGGGAGGTGGCATCTGCACAGATCACAGCCCCCACATGGGGCCCCACACGTCCTTACCCAAAGAAGGTGGAGGCAGGCGGCGGGGGATCCAGGTAACTCACCTCTGTGTCCACCACAGTGTTGCACTGTGTTGACCCAGGTATACTAAACACTTATGCATTATTCATTCTTGTCCACGGAGAACATTCACTCTATTCATTCACCCGTGCATTATCCGTCCATTTGAAAAAGTACTTCCTGAGTGTCTACAGTATGCTGGGTGCTCTCCTTTTTGCAGTGAACAAACTGACCAAAAACGCCAGATTCTCGTAGAATTTACATCCTGGCGGGTGACAGATGAACAAAATAAATGAGTGAAATCTACAGAAAACGTTACACGGTGATGAGTACGACAGAAGAAAATAGAGCAGGGATGTGAGATAGTCAGTTTTCAATAAGGCCGTCAAGAGTAAGGTGTCAGTGTAGGCCTTATGGGAAGGTGAGGTCGGAGCAAAATTCACAAGTGGGTGAGATAGCAAGTCATGAGGGGCTCCAGGAGGAAGAGGGCTCCAGCTGGGATCGAGTCCCGCATTGGGCTCCCTGCAGGGAGCCTGCTTCTCCCTCTGCCTGTGTCTCTGCCTCTCTCTGTGTGTCTCTCATGAATAAATAAATAAAACCTAAAAAAAAAATTAAAAAGGCACAGCAAGTGCAAAGGCCCTGGGGTGGAAGAAAGTCTAGTATGTACAAAGATCATCCATTTGGCAGAGATGCCAGAGATTTTATAGAGAAGTGAGCGACAGAGATGAGGAGTAGAGGAGTCACCAATCCTTCAGGGTCCTTACACTATTGTTAAGGATTTGTTTTTATCCCACATTATAGGGGCAGGCTGTGGAGGTGTTGGAGCGGAGGAGGGAATGTGTTTACTGTAACCTCTCACCGGCCAGGGTGGAAACTGAGAGTCCTGGTAAGGGGCGGCTATGATACCCGGGTGAGGGGTGTGTGCCTGGGGGTGGCTCTGATTCTGAGTATGTTGCAAAGGTAGAGTCAACAGGATTAGGCTGATAAATTGTATGTGGGTTTTGTGTGTGCATGCGTGCGCACACGCACACACACACACACACACACACACACACACACTAGTTCTTCCAGATCCTGAAATAAAGTAAACGCTGAGTATTTCCCATAAATCGCTGACTCCTTAGGAAAAAACAGCTTTATCCCGGACTTTTGCGGTGCCAACGCCTGAAGATATGTCACGACCTTTTGTGCCTCTCATAATCGTGTGAGAGCAGGATTTGTCATCACGAGCAGAATTATTAAAAAACAAAAACAAAAAACCCCCACCTGTTAGCCCTGGTCATCGTGCAGAATGTCCTCTGCATACCCCGCCGTGCTCTTGCTCAGTAAGCCGGTCCTCCCAAAGGCCAATTCCCTTTGCCAGTAACCTTCTTTACTTTTCCTAAATTACGCTTTCGCCTCTGAGACCTCTTTCTGGGTTGACAAGCACGGCTTCCCTGTGGTGCCTTAGCCCTCTCCCAGCACCTCAGCTGCTCAGGGTTTTGGTGGTTTTTTTTTTTTTTTTTTGGTTTTTTTGGTTTGACCTGGTGCAGTGACCCAGAACCTCATGTCCACAGCATCCAAGCCCTTAGGGTCGCCTTGACTTGCCACCGGCCATGACGTTATTACATGGGGGAGCTCTGCGGCTGCCCGACAGGCTGGGAGCCTGCAGTCTCAGTCCTCTGCCCCCACCGCAAAGGCCCGTACCCATTTTCCCCCGTAACCGGAATCGATCACCTGCAAAGCAAAATTATCTCCTCCCCCACACTTTTTTTTTTAATTTTTATTTATTTATGATAGTCAGAGAGAGAGAGAGAGAGGCAGAGACACAGGCAGAGGGAGAAGCAGGCTCCATGCACCGGGAGCCCGACGTGGGATTCGATCCCGGGTCTCCAGGATCATGCCCTGGGCCAAAGGCAGGCGCCAAACTGCTGTGCCACCCAGGGATCCCTCCTCCCCCACACTTGACAGTTATTTTGAGGAGCCCAGATCAGGCAGGTGTCAGTGGCATGTTCGAATTTCAATGGGACCAAGGCTGTTTTCCCTGAGCAGGTGGGTTCTTTCCTTGGGTGCTGGGAGCTCCAAAGTCCAACAATCCCAGATTGTGTGGTTGAAGGGCAAGTGCTCCTTGGTGGAGGTGAGAGGAGATGCTGCCCTCCCTGTCCCTTGGTCGTGATGTGGCCTTGGGGGAGATGGTACCATACTGGCCGCTGATGGGAGGTGCATACCCACCAGTGGCTCAGGCATGAGAGGTCAGGGACAGGTAGTAAAATAACATGTTTACCCCATTTCCAGCCCCCAAGCCCAGAGACAGCAATTTAATGTGTGTCTTTTCAGACCTATTTCTGTGCATATTTGTACACCTGTAAAGCAAACATAAACATATACGGATGTGGTAAGTTGAGTTTTGTGGGATTTTTTTACACAATTTTTTCTCCATTATCATATGTCTGCCTAAATATGGGTCTGGAGGGTTTTCCCATGCCACTGCCCACGGCCCTCCGTTTAAAAGCCACGCAGTGCTCCAGAGTATACATGTGCCAGACCCTATGTGATGACTCCCTTGGTGATGCATTTTTGAGATGCAACATCTTGGACTTTTGTAAATCATGCTAAAGTGAACAGGCCCATATATGCCTGTCTGTGCTAAGAAACAAATAATTGCTCTTGCTTACACATCCAGAAGCAAAATGAACAGAAACACCAATCTTAAAATTTTAAAGTGTATGGATACGGCCAGGGTGCTCTAAAAAGACATGACCAATTCATTTTCTCCCCACTGCGTAGGAGGATATTCATTTATCCGCACCTTCACCGACAAACCTGTAAATTTTCATCAATATGATGTTCAAGAAATATCTTCTGTCTTATTTCAATTAGCACCTAACTGGTGGCTGGTTTGGAAGAAGCAAAGCTTTGCATTACATTTGAGGTTTAGAAACTGTCAGAAGCTCTTTTATTTAATTAAAGCTTATTATGAGCAACCACAACTGGGAGACAAATGTGCATCAGCTATTCTAAAACAGTATGTACACTTGCAGAGCGCCTGGCTGGCTCAGTCCATACAGTGTGTGACTCTTGATCTCGAGGCTGTGAGCTCAAGCTCCATGTTGGGTGTAGAGTTTACTTTAAAAAATAAATAAGTAAAATCCTTAATATAAAATAATAAAATAAAATAAAATAAAATAGGGGCGCCTGGGTGGCTCAGTGGGTTTGCGTGTCTGCCTTCAGCTCAGGTCATGATCTCAGGGTCTTGGGATCAAGCCCCACATTGGGCTCCCTGCTTAGGGAAGAGTCTGCTTCCTCTGAGGGAGCTCAGAGGGATCTCCCTCTGCCCCTCCTGTCCTCGTGCTCTCTTTCTAGCTCTGCTCTCTCTCTAATAAATAAATAATCTAAAAAATTAAAATTAAAATTAAAAAAAAACAGTAGACTTGTATTAGATGCTATCCTGAATTTTTAGAGTATGTGAAATAAGGGATTGTGTTTCAAGTGCTTTAAAGGAATGTTTTTAAGTGAATTCAT